CATTGCGTTCTGCCATACCGTTGTTCAGCTTTGGAATGAATGAGAAAGGAACGGAGGTAGATTCAGACGACGACATTTTTCCCTTGAAAATTTCATTGCCGTCTTCCAAACCTTTGTTCATCTTCGCCTGGAAAGATGGGCTATCGGAGCTAGCTTCAGACGAAGAATTTTTCGCAGTTTGTGGTGGATCTGGTTTGAAGATATTATATATAACTTGCCAACAGCAAGAACAACAACCTGACGCTGGCGGTGGATCAGTATTATAAGGTTTATTTGTCACCGGATTTTGTAAATGAACATTGTCATTAGTCATGTTTGGGAAATCAAACGTCGGGTAGGCAACACTCGACAACTGTGAGAAATGGTATTTATGGGGACGCGTTACAACCGTTGTGCTCCAGATGACCTTGAGAAGCTAACACCCACATCATTAGCGCAACCAATCAGTTCGAGGAGGCGAATTAAATTTGTGAGTGATTTTTTAAGCGGGTCTGCTAATGTGCGCGAGTGAGAGAATCAAATGTGTTCCGGTTGTCAATGTCTCGACCATTGGTTAGATATATATTGTAGTGATTAGTTTTAAAAAGCATTTGTCGTTTATTGATGAGGAGGGGTCATGAAGATGTGAAGACTCAATTTCAGAGGATTGAGCCAATGAAATGGATGGTTTAATACGGTGTTTGCTGAACGTCAGGCGCCTCTCAATGGAACTGCTCAGTATGGGTCATGTTGTTTGATATCGTGCAGCATTTCACGTTAAAGCAAGAGAAAGAAATAACGACTAAAATCCGAACAGCTCAATTCGTAGACTATTGAATGTATATAGCGTAGAGTGATTGATGTAATGTATTTGTTGGATTAACTAAGTAATCCATATCCAATGAAAATGAAATGAACAATTCGTTGTTGACCATTGTATGGGATAAGCAGACAAATAATAAACTGTGCTGAATTGCAGTGTCGCTACCTTCCACACTTTAAAGCATTCGGGTGGTATTTCACCGTGTTTTGGGATTTTTGGCCATTTTGGGAGGTAAAATGGGTTAGATCAGTGTTTAATCAATTGTTGTCATTGTGATGGCATTTAAGATCACATACCATTTATCTCACTCAGCTTTCTCAAATGAGTGATCAGCCAATATGACTAAATAAGTAATTTGTGAATCTCTTCTGTAATTGTTGAAAAGATTATTAATTTAAACAGTAGGCATTTTGATAATTATCATTAACCATTTAGCTGACTTCGGACTTCACAGAGATAAGGAGGATCTTCAAAGTGACAAAAGGTCGAGGGGTGGAGAAGAGAAGAGTGATTCACAGATGTAAAATAGACAAACAAGCGTAAAGGCAGAGAAGAAGTGAGATGAGTACGGTGGAAGTGGTTGAATATGACATACAATGGGGCCATGGTAGTTTGAAGTCAAAAGTGAACTGCCGGTTAATAGACCTCTTATACGTATGAGTGTACGTTGCCCAGAGTGCACCACGTGGAGGTAAGTCTGTCGCACACACCTTGTTGAAAAGATAAGAAAAGCCTACAAGAAATTGTAAGAATGCTAGAGACGAGGAGAGTTAAAACTGAAAGATATTCACTCAGGCACGTTTTATTGACCTAAGCTGGAATATTTAACCGTGAGACAGAACTAGCGGATGTTTGCACAAATTGATCCGAACATTGGATAGTCATATCGGGGCGATTATAGTAAGTGATTTCTTCCTTGATAAAGGGCCACGCCTTCAATCACTACTTCTCACAGTACAAATACTGGTATATTTTACAAACGTATTTTAACCTCTCCGAAGTGCCAATATTCGTTAGTTTATCTCTCATAACTTGAGGTATTGAATCTGTGTTGCTACTTCTATTAATAAGTAGTAATAATTAAACTCGCAGATGCGATAGAGGTAATAACATAGAGTCTGCTTAAAAGAAGTAGAAATTTCTCAATTTAAGTTGGCATTCTTTAGCCCATGGTTCTAACATAAAATTAAAGATAGAAGAAAGTGTGTAAATGACCCTATGCCAATAAGTAAAGATAGGATATGAAATGTAAACTGCATCTCTTTGAAGTTGTAAGCTGACGTGAACTGCAGATTTCATTTCAATACATGTGTACCGAAAATTCTTGCGAGAGCATTTAAATTGACGCAAACTCCATGCAAATGTAGTTTGGATTCTGCAGCGACACGAGTTAATGCCAGTCTAGATCTGCCATAATTCGTAAAGGATCCCATAGTCATCATAAGCTACAAAAACAATTTCAAAATTTCTTCGAGTACCTGTTTTTTGTGGCTAACTTGCTAGACCTCACGTTCTCCCTCCCACCATTTTCATGTGATCAATTATTTTGGTTGACATAACTTAGCACAATGGTAGGTTTTGTTTTGCATTTTATTCTGCTTAAGAGTAAATAAATAAAACGCGGTGAAGATTTGAGTCAAAAGTGGAATATTTCGGTGGTTATTTGTTTTGAATGGCAAGGGTTTCGACAGCTATCATTAGCCCTTAAGCTGACTTCGGGCTTCTCAGAGGTGAGGAGCGCCATCGTCACAGAGAAAGGAGGTAGAGAAGAGAAGAGTGAATTACAGGTGATAAAGAGAGTCAACAAAGGGACAAATGATAAATATAAAAAATCCAGCCAATATCAACAAGCGAATTCCAGAGGAGAATGACTTTTCGACATCTGAACTAATGGTTAAAGTGTTGGAGACTGAAATGGCTTCATTGGTAACTTATTAGAAGAGAAGACGTTTTCGTGGACTCGGGGTAACTTTACACTGCACCTCCACGATGATACTAGCAAGCCAACACATTCCCAAATTTCTTCTCCTTCAAGGCGAGTGCCAAGATCAGTCATCATCCAGACTAGCTCCTAACGCGACTAGATTCGAGACAAATTGTACTAATGTATCAACATTTTGCCAACATCAACTTTTCAAATGGAGAGGAACAATTGAATCTCGTATTTCCCCTCAAAT